GTGGGGGGGGGAATAGTTTTTCATACTTAAAGGATTTTGTGGTCCCTTGTTACTAAAGTTCTTAAATTGTAGAACTTTTAGTATCATATGCTGTGTTTTTCATGTGTTAAATTTCAAAAGGGGAGAGAAGAATGGGGAGGGGAACCAGAGTGTCATGACCCTCATGGGCTCTTCTAAATTCAATTTGCAATCACGGAGAAGAGGAATAAGAGCAGAGGTTTTCCAATTAAAGAATATAGTTTGAACCTCAATCATTTTGTAATAAAAAAGCATTTCTTGAACACCCATTTTGCATCTAGCACCGTCGATGAGGATACCAGGAAAAAATGGTCCAAACCCAGCTTCCTTCATGCTTACTATTCAAGAAACAACGAGGGGTGTAGATAATGACAATGTACTCAAGAAGGGAATAGCATTGTCCAGTGGGAGTGTAGGAAAAGCTGAGTGTCACTAAAGAAATGAAACTTGAGCTGGACCTTTAAAGACGGTCAACATTTGGCCATGTAGAAAGGGAGGGTGACAGTCCAGTCTGGCCCAGTAACACAAGTCTGGTTAGGGGGAGTGTGGGGGGGGGTGGGACAGGGGAAATTGGTTTAACTGCGCAAGAGGACTCTGGAGTGTCTGGGAAGTAGGGTGGAGGAGCCTGAGATTGAATGTGGCCAACAAGAGGGACCAGTCCTGGGGAGGAATAACAGATAACGAAAGTTATAAAACAGGGCCAGATTCCAAAGGGAAAGATGGGAATAGAAAGTAAGGAAACAAATGTGGTATGTTGCAAACCAGAAATTTTGAACTTGGCAACAAATTAAATTTAGGGATTACAGTAGGAGGGAGCAAAAGGTAATTAATGTTTCAAGTTGGTAAACTCAAAATAGCAATAGCGATTGCAAGTAGTGTGGGGAGAAGGAAATTTGCTTTGCAGAAAGGTAGTGAGTTTAGCTTTATGTATGTCTTTTAGGCATCAACCTTTTTTATGTTGTGACAAATGGTTTGAAATATCCTGTGGCTTGAATGGGAGAGCAGGAATGGATGCTTAGTGAACTGAGATGTCTGAAACCCACAGTAGAATTCGGAGAGAGATAATCACGAAGTTGAAGATGTATTCTTGCTGGAAGGCTGCGGGGGGGGGGCATGCACAGTGGGAATCTTGAACGTGGAAGGGGTGGCAGCAAAGATTGAGAGGAAGGTAAGCTCACAGAGGTAGCAGGTATAGTATAAGCCAAGACAAAGGCATTCCGGGAATTAGGGGGTCACCTTATGTCAGACCCTAAAAGAAGAAATTAAGGGAGAGTAAGAAGTGAAAAAAAAATTCCTTCAGTTGTGTTAGATTCTAATGTCTATTGCACCCCTTTCACCATGTAAGGTTGGAATGTCACTGTAACGCAACCTGTCGTAGTGCAGAATTTGATACACATTTCCGTTTGGGCCTGTGTTCCATTCCAAGAAGGTAGCTGTTCCTAGAAAAATCTTAACCCATGACTCCATTCTGCTGTGTAACCCTTGGGACAGCGTAAGACAGAGGCTTGTGCATATTCTCTTCAAATATGTACTAGTAGGTCACAAAAGTTAAACAGGAACTAGGTTAATTCTTCCACAGAGTTTTAATAGCCTTTTTTTTTCTCCCCAGAACAAATGTCTGTTCCTATCACTGAAAGTATAAGCAGCCAAGATGCAGTGTTGTCAGCTACTTTCTTGAGGACTCCAGTCAAGTCAGTGACAGGATTGAAGCTAGAATCCAATCCACCAGATTGTTTAACAAGTTTAATTTCCTTCTCTAGCCCATCGAGAGAATGAAGATGAGCCTTCAACTCAATATATCTTGTCTCTTGGACCTAAATTCAGGTGAAGCTTATTGATAAGCTTACAATTCAGAATTAGAGCGAGGTGTAGGTGGTATTTGTCTTAGTAGTAGTCACCATGCCTTGGGTGGGTGGTTAGGCAGAACAGTGGCTGAAGGATAGAGTGTGTGTGTCCTAAAACCTGACACACCCTGAAATCTTCCTGAATTAGTAAATCGTTTTATCCATATTTTCTTGCACAATAATGGCAGAGGGGAAGTAATCTGAATAGCTGCTGATAAAAGACAATTTGGGGCCCTTGAAATGGCAGGACTTCAAATGGAATGGGAGTGGCTGTACTTAGCCTAAAAGCAAACAGATTTATTTCACAGATAGTTATGGAGCTCGTACCCTGTATCTGAGACCTCCCTGTGACGTCAAAGTCAGTCTCTTCCCTCTGGGAGAGAGAAGACTCAGCACAAATCACTGAATGAGGGGCAGGATATGTGTAATCGCTATGTGAACCACTCAGAGAGACATTCTTAGAGGGGATTCTGGAGGAAATGTAGAGTGCAAAGGCTTGACAGCTCTTAAGAAAAGCAAAAATAAAGAGATAATGAATCTATTCATTCTGCCAGTTCTCTAAGTTGTAAGACGTAATAAGTTTATGTACCAAATGAATGGTGTAACTGTGTCTATTTTTAGAGGGGACTTGAGTTCATGAGTAAAGTCCTTCCAAGTTGTCGGTTTTTGTTTAAATTTCCCTTGAGCAATAAAATAAAATCCACTCAACTGCCAGTTTTATCATGTGTTATATCTTGGCTTTAGAGCTCCAGGGGTTGGGAAATGAGTGAAAAATTCGTGCTTCACGTTGGGAACACCACCAGCGCAGGATAGGTAGCTTGCTCAGAATTAAGAGGTAGTGAAAGTATATTAAATGCCCTGGTATCTGTGCAGTGAAACTGTTCCACCTCCATTTCAGTGAAGGATATGACTATTTCAGGGAAGGCTGAGCAGACCCCAAATACCTAATTCTTAGCCCAGGGCCATTATTTGGCTTAATGCTGGAATCCTTGGCATTTTCTGATGTAATCATGCCCCTGCTTAATTGTCCAAGTTCTGTAGATTGTTTAAAGTATCCCTCACACTCATCTCATTTCTGTTGGCTCAGGCAGCACCCTCATTCAAGCCTTGTTCTGAACACTGTCCCAGGATGCATTTTCATAAAACACCTCATAGAAGGAGCTGCTCATTCCTGCTCTGGAAATCTGCTGAATCCTGCCTCATCCACTCCATCCCCTCCTTTCTGTTCTCCCATCTCCTTAGCCTCCCTCCAGTCCTTCTGAACTCTCTCACGTGTTAGTTGCGAGGGCTGAGCTTCAGATCTGTCTCTCTAATGCTAATCCAGATTTCCATTTGCTGCTAGACTAAACTTCCCAAAGAAGTATTTTTATTCTCCATCTTGTACAGCGTTGGTAACTGCCCCTTGCCTGTGGCTGTGTTTCGTGGTTATGCTAGTTGTTGTCTTCACAGTCTTCATGTCCATCTGGGCTTGCTGCCTTATTTCGAATCCACTAATTTGAAAAAATTAAATATCTACTTGAGTCTCATCTTGAGCAATAAACTCCATACAAAAGCATGAGTTGGGGTTGGTTTTAGTTTAGTCCTCCTCATGCTCAAGTAGACACGTTAAGAGAAACGTCAGCAAGCCACCTCAAACTCCCTCCCTGGAGTAGTTGCTCACCAACCTGAAAGTCCAACTCATTATTATGCTTGTGCCATTTAAGGACCACAGGATGGCATTGACCTTATTCACTGCCATCTTCCTGGCAGAACTCTGCACTCCAGCCAAACTGGTTTATTTGTGGCCTCTGAGGTAGTAACACTTTTACATATTCTCCTCCTCATCTTCTGGAATACTCTCCTCCACTGCCTCTTCTCTTGGCCCGTTGATGGCTTTTCCATCATCTTTGTTCATTCTCCTCTGTAACCAGTCTGGTCTGCAGCAATGTCTCTCCTCTTTAAATTCCTGCATTTTTGCACCTACTGCTTTCTATCACCAATGCAGTTTTTCATCTTATCCGGCTTAAACCTGTCTCCATGACCACCCTAAGTCTCAGAGCAGGATGGAGCTTAGAGATTGTGTCATAGGACTCTTCCTTGGTGCAGACACTTGAGGCTCCCTGAGGACAGCAGTCATGTTATACATACTAAGCCTCAAACGTGTGTCTCCTTTTTAGAGTTTCTTCATTCTGAATGCCACTAAATGTACCATTATATTGTGATTTTTTTGAGGGCTCATTATCTAGCTTATCCTGCTGATCACTGGTGTTTCCACTAGAGGAATCAAAGCCACAGGTTTAGTGGCTCACGTCCCACATGGCACGTCCCTGCTGTACAGTCTATATCTTCATTCCTTACCTCAGCACCTCCTCACTCACCTTCTGAACACATTCATGCATACCTCTTGGTCTTCAGTCCATTTTGCCCTCTTCTTCAGAATTGTAATAATGAACGTCTTTTAAAGGTTTTATCTTTTTATTCTTGAGAGACACAGAGACAGAGGCAGAGACATAGGCAGAAGGAGAAGCAGGCTCCCTGTGGGGAGCCTAATGCAGGACTTGATCCCAGGACCCTGGGATCACGATCTGAGCCAAAGGTAGATGCTCAACCACTGAGCCACCCAGATGCCCAATTGTGAACATTTTTATGCACAATTCCACCTCTGTATTGTCTCCTTAGTTCTCATTCACCCTCTCTCTCCCCTCCCCCAAGTGCCCCACCTCCTCCTTACCTCCAGGTTGCTGAGCACAGAGTAAAGTCTGGTACTAAACATCCTTTAGTCATCCCTTCCAGGCCCCTGATAGGGAGAAAATGAACAGTTGGGGTCACCCTTCTTACCCTCCCACCACTGCCGCTGCTCCTGCCAGTATGTGGGACCTGTGTATACCTGCATAGAGCAGACTGTCAAGTGAACCTTCTCACAAGCAGTTGCATGAAGAAAGTGCAGAGAAACAAACCTCTCCTCAGACCTACACCCACTTCTGACCTACTTGCTATCTCACAGGTCTGGCATGTGTCCGAGTGCGAATTTTCTTAGTGCCCCCTCCCACACTAAAGGTTTGCAGATAAATGAGCCTTTCTGTGACTTCTCTCTCTCTCTCTCTCTCTCTCTCTCTCTCTCTCTTTCTCTCTCTCTCTCTCTCTCTCTCTCATTCACAGAGCACCGGAGAGAAGAACCTTCTCACCCCATCACCTTTTCATATGCTTTGACTGGAGGTGAGTTCCAAATCCTACTCCCAAATCCTACTTGTAGACTTTGCAGGAGAATGAGGCATGCAGGAGGGAGATTTCTTAATGCCTTTCTTATGGGAATGATGAACAAGAGTGAGCTTTATCACAGTAACACCCTCCCCACCCCAACACACACACATAGATGATGCACACAGGCCTCTAAGAGGAGGCGCCTCCTTATTACCCTTGGCCTTCCCATACCTGTGCCTGTGCACGTTCTCTGTGGAGAGCAGGAGACTCCTGATCTGTTTGGTCACATAAGGCTCACATGTTGCGGTGTGAACTATCTCGGTTCCCCTCCCACACACAAGTTTTACTGATGTGTAATCTTTTTGAGCTGTGCCCTGTCTCTTGAACCCAGCATGCCTTCTCAGTTCCCTTCCTATAAGCATGCTGTGTAGGATAGTAGGCTTTAGATGAGTTGGTTCAGACCCACAGGTGCATATTAATTCAGATGTGTACCCAAACACATGCGTACATGTGCATGAGTGCACACACATGGTGAGGGAGAAGAATCCTTCTGATTGTTAGTGTTTGCCTTGTATGGTGGGATGTTTGGAGGAATAAAAAAAAATATCTGCCTCTCTTAGGCAAAAAAAAAAAAAAAAGATCATAAACTGGAGGAGTTTATCCTTCAAGGATGGCAGGAAACTTCTAAGCTATAATTTGTTGGCCAACAAGATTGAAGACTAAAGAGAAAGTGTCAAGGTGAATACCCATTTGGTTCTTTATGCTATAATTAGTGTTGTCAAGCCAACTGACATCTAAGGAAAAGAACATGAGAATTATCCTTCAGTTAATAAGTTTGCTTGCTTAGCCTGTACGTTGAAAGCCCTTTCATCTTTTAGTTATTTCAAAGGTTTTTGGAACCTTGTTCAAATGATGATTGTTTACATCATAAAAATAGTGTGAATACTTGTGACATTTTAACATTTTTATAGGATTCATCAGTAGTATTCTTAGACTTGCTTCATTTCTGCCTCTGTTCCTCACGCCACCTCCCCCCCGCAACCTGTCCCCACTGTCTATGCAAGAGTGCAAGCCTCTTGAGCTGTTCCATCTTTTCCACCTTAAGCATGCAGGATTAGGAGCTTGATATATATATATATCACATATACACACACATATATAAGCAAAATCTTTGTATATAAATATTTTTATATATTATATATAAATATATTTTTATATTTTATATATATAGCCAAGGGTAATAAGGAGGCACCTCCTCTTTATTTTGCTTTTTTTGAGAAAGAGAGAAGGGGGAGTGTGAGCAGGGGAGAGGAGAGGGAGAGGGAGAAGCAGATGCCATGCTGAGCGCTGGAGCCTGACGTGGGGCTTGATCCCACGACCCTGAGATTATAACCTGAGCCAAAATCAAGAGTTGATGCTCAACTGACTGAGCCACCCAGGTGCCCCAAGCTTATTTTCTTTGAATATGGTTTCCCAGATGCACACACTAACTGAAAGAGGGTAAGCCTGCTGGCATATTCTCTTTCTTGTGTGCCCCGTCTGTTGGAGGGTATGTTTTCCCACGTCCCCTCCCATTTGCCTCTTTTGTCTTGCATACCTCTGTCACATGCACATACATGTGGTGTGTAAGGGAGACCTGTGAGCTCTCCCATTGCATCCAGTGTTGCAGGACTGTGAACCTTCTAGTGCTGCCCCCCCCCCACCCCATGCATGGCTTCAATGAAAGTAAAATTAACCTTGTGATTACAACCTCCCAAAGCACCCATTGATTGGCTGTCAACCTCCTCGTTAGTCCTTTCTTTGTGTGCACCCGCAGACACATTCATGATAGGAGCTTGAGCCTTCTTATTATACGTTCTTGATCTTTCTCTTTTTCATCTTCCCTCTTCTCCCTTTCCCATACACATGCCCAGGATGTGCCAGAGAATGAGCTCTGGTCACCTCTGGTTCTCATACAAGCATGAGTACACACTGCTTGGGATTTGGTGGTTGGACTGGCTGTCCTGGCAGTCAGATTACCCTATGGTGGAATCCTGATGTGAGGCCTTGCCAGCTCCGTGATCCTAGATAAGCAACTTTTCCCCTTTGTGACTCAGTTTCCACAATATATCTGATTTAAAAATGAAATTAAAGAATTCAAAGGCACTACCTCCTTTGTCCCAAAGAGTTCCTCCAGTTTCGACCTATTTCTCTGTTCCACTTTACTGTTTCTGCTTCTCCCATTCTCTCTTGAACACCCTCCAATTAGGGCTTTAATCTTCACCACACCACTACCATTGCCCTTGTCACGGTCCCTGATGCTCTCTTCACATAACCCAGTTCATTGGACTCTTTCATCTTCTTACTGGACAGATTCACACACAGTTGCTCCTTCCCTATGTCTTGAGACTCTACGTGGTTTCCAGGACTCCACATGCTTGGTTCTCTCAGCTCACTGGCCTCTCTTTCTCAGCCTCTTTTGATGGCTTCTCCTCTTTTTCCTGAATTCTAAACAGAAGGATTTAGGGCTTAGTTTGTGGATGACTTATTTCTACTCCTCACTTGTCCTTATAGTTTGCTGTCCTCATTTTGTCCTATGGCTCTAAATACCATCCTACGTGGATAACTCTCATATTTACATTTCCAGATTAGAGCCTCTTTCCTGAATTCCAGATGTGTATATCCAAGTGAGTTCTCAACATCTGCCCTTGGATGTCTAATAAGCACCTCCCACTTTAACAGAACAAAATTGAAGTCCTGATTTTCCTCTCCCCCCTCCTCAAGATGGCTTCTTCCTTCCTCAGCATTCTCTCAGTAAATGGCACCACTCCCTGCCCCCACCAAAAAATTGCTCAGGCCAATGATACATAGGATTTTAATATGCTGATGTCCTTGGATTCATCCTTGACACTTAGTTTTTTCCCTCTACATTCCAAATCCAACCCATCAAATCTTTTTTGGCTTTCCTTTCAAAATATATGCCGAATCTGACTATGTCACATACAGCCACTTGTCACATCCTCCATCACTTCCACCCTAATCCATGTCTTCTCTGTGTTGACGGGCTAGTGATTCTTCCACTCCCACTTCTCTCTCTGTCTGTCTGGCTCTGTCTCTTTCCTCCTGCTGTTCCCCTTTCTCACACTCTGCTTCCCTCTAGTGCCTCCCCTACATGCAGCTTGAGCAAAAGGGAGGCTTACTGCAGTCCCTCCCCCGCCTCCTTGCCCACCGCTTCTGCACATACACAGCGTAGGGATGCATGTGTTCAGGGCAGTGAGCCACCATGCTGTCTCTGGCCCTGGCCTTGCTTTTCCACCTGCCTACTTGTGGCTTCATATTCTTTCTGTATATTGCTCATGACATACACATGCACACACACAAGTGCATGTGGGAGAGAGTGAACTGTCATCACCTGTTCCTGTGCTCCCATCTTTTGCCAGGTGGAAGGTGTGCTTTCTGAAACCACTGCCATTATGCAGGAGAGGGAGCCTCGGCTCACCTGGCTCTCAGGTCCTTTGTCACACATGCAGGTGCAGAAGGCTTTTCTTCTTTTTCACATTCTCTACTTGCAGAAAGCTGTATGACTTGAATCTCCTTCCTATATGATCTGGCATGAGAGTGAAACTTCTTAGCAAGTTGGTCACCTTGTTCCTCCCTCTGGCACTCTTACACTCTGTCTTTTCACATGGGGAACCTGTCATTTTTCGTGCCTTATGCGTAGGGTTGTGGACTTTCTTTAATATCCAACACAAGCAGGCACACAGGGAAATGAGCCTCCTTGTTACATCTAGCACACACATGGAATCCAGATCCTCTCCACCTCACTGTTACACCCATGCCTCTTTCCCTCCATGCAGCATGAGGGGGAATGAGGCCCTCTCACATGCTGCAAGGTATATGCCCACATGCATGTGCATGTGCGCACGCTCTCTCGCTGTCTTTCAGGAGATTGAGCCTTCTTTGTTGGGTCTTCTTTCTGTAGCACCAGCATGTAAGATTCTCAGCTTTCTTACCATGTGTCCTTTATGCATGGTCCAGTGTTGTGTCATCTGTAAAATAGGCATAGTGATGATTACCTTGTAGATATTTTATGAGGATTTAATGAGTTAGCATATGAGCACTTAGAATGGTGCCCTGTAAATAATAAGCACCATAATGGTGTTTGGGATAAAAGTAAAGAATAAGAAAGAAGAAAAATAGAAGAAAAATAGGTTGTAGATAGTAAACATTACTGAAGGTACATATGTGAATCAATATACAGACCTTCCTTCTCATCATAGCGTGTCTGTGGCATGGTCACATATATACCTGTCCAGCTGAGACACATGTACTCACATACACAGAGTGTACAAGAGAGTGAACCTTCTGACTTGCTTTCTCTCTTACATGCCTTGAGTGTAGGACCGTTGGCATCTTACCCTCCCACACCCAAGGCTTGCAGGAGGGCAAGCCACCTCCTTCCTCTCCTATGCATAGGCATGAGCACCAACAACACACGCACACACACACACACACACACACACACGGCAATTGAGATCTTGATGAAGCTCCTCCCTCATAAACCCTGTATGTGGGACACATACCACTGCCACCAAACCCTCTGGACAACTGTCCCACTCCATGTATGCCCCTCCTGTCTTACCCACCAATGCTCCTTCCTTGGCTTCCTTACTGCCTGTGGGCAACCCCTAGGCTGATGCACCTTGCTCTCTAGAGCATACCCACATGATGTGCCAAGAGAGTGAGCCTTTCCCTGCTCCCTCTCTCACATCCCTTGCATGGTGGAGGGTGAGCTTTTTGAAAACCCCTCCCACATGCAGGGTTTGCAGGATGGTGAGCCTCAGCTTTCCTTGCTCTCTTGTGCATGTGCACGTACACATACACACACCTTCACAAAAACATAGACATGCACAGTTTGGTGGGAAGGAGAAACAGCCCTCTGCCCTGTGTTCTTTCTCCCATCTCAGTCATGCATAGGTTTGCAGAAGATCTGTGAGCATCCACTATGTGTTGGGCACTCTCCCATGCACCGAGAT